TTAATGAGGTAAATTATCTGTTTTCAAAAGGTGGGGGACGAGTTTCGCAACGTTAGAAGCTGTCACGGCATTTTGATCTATCGCGCCTCCATTATTCCGTCGAAGCCAGCAGCAATATACGTCTACATTGCTCAGGTTGACCGGCCACAAAAAATTCTCACTTTCTCCGTTCAGGATTCGAAGCAAAGTTCAATGCAGAGAGGTTCTGCGTGAATCTTCAATGAAGACTCTCTTCAGTTTGTCTCCGTGGTGCCGGCTAGAACCATTTGGCTAAGTTTAAGTAGTATATCTCTTCACCATTCTGATGTTAGCCTGAGACTGAGGCAGGAAAAGAGGAAGTTTCAAAGTAGAAGAAAAAGGAACAGTCGAGGATACGTCTCTAACACAGCTAAAGACAAGTTTATTCGGTCACCCTCTTATATACACTCTACAATCTTTAAATAATTGTCAGTACTCAGTGGAGTGTATATAAGAGGGTGACCGAATAAACTTGTCTTTAGCTGTGTTAGAGACGTATCCTCGACTGTTCCTTTTTCTTCTACTTTGAAACTTCCTCTTTTCCTGCCTCAGTCTCAGGCTAACATCAGAATGGTTAATTTCCACCAGCTCGCCTGCGCACTCACTACAATATCATTAGTATATCTCTGTCTGTCAAATATACTTTTATTCAGCAGTTCACCTAATAGCTAGTCAACCAAGCTCATATCGCTTTAGTGGGGCATAGTACGTAATATAATGCATAACCCGCTCGTCAAAATGACTTCTCGATTGCTACTAAAACCTGAATTGAAATACGAGTATCAGCTGCTTAGTGGGGCCCCGGCGGGTGAACATGGTCCTTGGCTCAAGAAGCACTTGCTTAATTTTCCTAATTTTCCTGCAACCTGTGTTGTTGACCGAGCAGACGACTGGAGCTGTTTCTTAAAGGGGCGATGCAACGATTTTTGTATTTTGCATAAATACCGCTTAGAACGGATCCCTGACGTTAATGACCTGTGAAATACCCGTTCGTTTTTCACCAGACGCAATCGAAGTCGCAGAAAAAAATTAAGAAAAACGAGCCGGTTCACCCCCTCAACGCGCAGCCAGAACAAGCGGCCACGTGATCTGGAGCCGATTATTTGCCGCCAATGTTGATCATAGCCATGCGCTGGGGTTGGCAAGGCACAGGACACGCGCTGAGTTCCAGACATTGTTATGGTTCGGCTGTTGTCGTCATTGCAGCGATTGGACACAGGACACTACCCGAATGCTTGTCGAGCTGTCAATTATCACGAGCCCAAATCGAGTGTCCACGCCATGCTCGGGTCCAATCTATGAGCCGCATTCAAATATCGTCACTGGGCGGTACTGATACCGCCGAGCTACGTCATCAGGTTTTGCGAAGGAGAGATTGAATGAAAACACTCGGTTTTGTCCTCGAAATTACAGCGCAACAAAGGAGTTTCTTGGTCAGTAGCGTTGCGTGCGAGTATCCTTGAGTCCCACTAGTGCCAGTAAGCTTGTGTAAAGTCAAAAACATTACAATTGAATATCGTTGCACCGCCCCTTTAAACGCGGATAGGCACAAAAGCTCGATTTCGCGGACAGATAAGTCGCATGGTCGAGGCACGCGAGTTAGCTGAAAATTACTCTTGGTGGAATAATTTAGTAGTCATCGCCGCTTTCCTTAGATGATCAAAAGTGATTAGTATATTGCAGTCTCTCCGGAGCCCATAGTTTCAGTTTTGACCGAAATCTCCGAAACGAAAGTTTGACATGAAAAGAACAAAAAACACTGGGAAAACAAAACTACGCTTTGCAAGTTTATGTGCACCGGCTACACTTAACCGTCTCAGTTCAAATACCTATAAAATTGGGCATTAAACAAAAGAAAATCTGTTAAATTGAACGCGCCACCTGTTCAGGCGGCCCGGCCGAGTCGACGCGACCTGGACTCAGCCGCCATGTTTGTTTGGTGGTGGCGCCCCCTATAGGTCGCTGGAGTCGCGAATAAGCAAATGTCGCTGTCTGGGAAGTACAATCGTCTTAGCTTCGTTGAACCTCGCCACAATAACAAGCTTGGAAGGGACAAAACCTAAATATAGCAATTGTTTTAAACTTTTCTCGATTTTACATAGACAGTTAGCCCACTCCATATTTTCACCTGATTTGCTCTTGATGTTAAGTGGGCTATCTCTCGGGATTTTACTGTATGTATTCCTTAAAGGGATGCTGAACCGATATTTGAAGTTGCCGAAATAAGCCCCGGACAAGCTTCCCGGGGCCGCACTATACCTAAAAATGCTATTCATGTAAAGGGATGGAGATCGGATTATTATATTTCTTGGAATGACGAGCGCCGATTGAGCCAGAAGCGCCAGAAGCCTCCGACGCGCGCAAGGCCCTCTGGGATTACTCGCAACGGAACTGACGTGATCATATCGCAACGGAACTGACGTGAACATTTCGAGCTGCCAACGCGCCACAGCGTGGAAGAAAGTTGCGCTTTGAACAATAGTAGACGGATGCCCGTCGCGTTGGAAGTTTGCCAACTAATCCAGCCAAGTAAGCTGCGCACTACCTGCCAGCCGCCCCAGGGCCTCCAGTCCACTTCCGCACCTGCGTCGTAGCGACGGTGGCGACTTCGGTCTGCACTTTGGCCATGACGACGTCTGACAGCAGTGGCAGCGGCAGCGGCGTGCCGTCGGACGAAGAGTACGAAGAACCGCCAAGGAAGAGGCCAAAAGTGGTGCCGTATGCCTGTGACCCATCGGCGTCGTCCGACGACAGCGATATAGCAGCCCCCGAAGCCGTACAAGTACTGCGCGACGAAACATTGCAGGTTTCAACCTGCAATGTTTCGTCGGCAGGCCAAGGCTCTGTAGTAGCGTCGGGCTCATGTGATAGTCTTCGTCTGCGAAGTGGTCCGAGCATAGCCAGCCGCTTTTGGAGGGCAGCCAGGTTGGCTGTGAAGGGCGGGCGGCGCGAATCCATAACTTTCGCAACGTGGGCTTGCTTGGAAACGTATGCACAAGCCTGCCAGTGTAAGAACTGCAGTTCATACAGTCCTGTGCTGCACAGTGCAGCGGCATACCTTGCGAAACTGCTGGATCATATTAGTTGAGCGCCAGACGCTTAGCCAACACAGATGACTGCTGTTCCTGCTGCGTTGTCGTTTTCGTTACCCGCTTCAACAGACTGAGAACGCCAGAGCGATCGGCTCTGGTCGGAAGAACCGAAAAGGTGTCGAGCTTGAGACCTTGGTCGCTTCGGTACCTTGGTCTGAGCAGAGCTAAAAAGCGCGCCGCCGTTACACGTGGTTACACTTCGACCACGGTGGCTTCGACAGCGCCAAGGAGGACAGCGCTGATGTTTGATGCCGCCAAGATGCCGCTTGCTCGCCACTGGCCACGCTCGCTAGGCCGTTCGGCGCCGCATAGGTGTCGTGTCAAAAACGAAATGATGAACACTGTTCGACAAATGTATAAGATAAAATTGCTTTTCTTTAAAAAATATATCTCATCGTTTGCGTTTCGGGACGGGGTTCGCACATCGCATTTCCGTTTCGTCGCGCCACTTCGCGGCGTGGGTGCACACCGGAGCCAACGAGGTATGTCAGAGCCAACTTTGGTGGCTCACCATAGCCGTGTTCTGCGTACTGCAAGTATGATGTTGTCACAAAACGAGCTTTCAAAAAACTCACCAGGTGCACCTTAGAATATTTATTTCCATAAATCATACATTGTAGACAACTTTATTGTTTAAATTACCGTAATTTAAGAGCCATTTGTGTGCTGTAAATATCAAAACGACAAAGAATTTAGATTCTGTTGTTCGGTTCAGCATCCCTTTAAGTCAGTTCTGGCAAAGATAGGCACTAAGGCAGCCTATGCTGACTCAAGCACACTGGAAGGTCCAAGCAGCACTAGCCTAAGCACACAGTGAAGAAGTCTCAGACGGAGTAGAATAGCCAGATGTAGCCGATGACATTCCTGAACTTGTCTAGATCTGCACATGTAGACACGTGTAGGTTAAAGAGACTTCTTGTGGATATCGCGTCATGGATATGTGACAGCTGATGATTTAGTAGCTTCGAAACCAGTGGGAGTGTGGTATTCTATTCAGTGTAAATTCCTTTTGAAAATAAAAAAAGTTATATTGTTTTTTCCTACCAAATTTAATATCTAGCTATTTTTACTCCAAATCTAGCAGTTTTCAGGCATGTGTCTAGCGGGGGAATTCTAATTAGGAGCTGGCAACACTGGCTTCAAGCCTGTGCCATCTCATTTCGCCATTGTTCCTGTGCCGTATAGGCTCATTTCGTTCTGCGATTGCGTCGCGAAAGCGGAAGCCATTATCTCTCAACGAAAAGTTGGACATTCTCGCTGCCATCGACCGGGACCCGAAGCGAAAACAGATCGACATCGCCAAAGAACTTGGATCGCCTGCCTGGTCGGTGAACAAGGTTGTGTCCAAAAGAAGGGACACTGAAGCAAACGCCTTGGTTTTCGGCTCGGCTACCAAGCAAGCCCATGGAGCGAAGCACAGGGAGCTGGAAGATGCTTTGCTGAGCTGGTTTAAAGGGATACTTCAACGAAATTTGAATTTTACCCGCCGTGTACAGAAATAGGTCGACTATGATCCACAATACTCGAAAATGACAACCGCACGTCCGTATTTTGAGCAGATGGCTGTATTTTTCGTTCTAAACGGCCCACTCTGGCAAGCAGTCGGAGAACAGCCAGCGGAGGCCACGTCACATCCGGCGCAGTCATGACGTAGGGCGTCTCAATCAACGATTGGAGGAAAGCTGCGGCGAGGCTGACGTGGTTATGAATTTCGTCACTTGGTGGCGTTCACGAGTAAAGTTATGTTACAACCTATACGTTTGACCTGCCTGCGGTCTGAACGGCCTCACAAGTCACAACCCGGCAAACACGGCCACCCTGTGATCCCAGTGTCCGTGAACCCACTAATCCCGTGCCAAACACGGTAGTCGGTTCGTGCTTTGTGTCGCGATGGCGTGTCGCGGAAACAGAAAAGTTAGCGACACCAGCGAGGACGAAGACATCGCTTCTGCAATGGTGAAAGATCGTCGATTCGGCTTACAGCTGTACATTTACGACCCATCTGCGTCGTCTTCATCTGAAGGCGACGGGGACGGGCCGGACACGCCACCACCAGCCCGTCGTGTGGGCTCCGCGAATTGGTAAGTTTTCTATTTCATTCGCGATCAAGAAATATTTCATTTTTATTTCGTACATATTTTCGCGATTGGCAGGCGCGGCATGTATTGAAACGGCGGGATGTTGCTATGATATCAGGATATGCCTCCATCTTCTTGGTGCCGATCAAGGCTATGCATGCGCACTCTACCTTTACGAATTAGCAGTTGCAAAACATAGATACGCTGTGGCGATTGCCGGCGTGCGGTCGCCTCAGCCCGACAGGCTCCAACGCGCGAGCGATAATAATGGCAGTTTTCGGCACCGAAAACTGCCATTATCAAAGTTTTATGGATGAGGTAGATGTTGCAAACACCTTAGAAAACATCGAGTAAAGTTTCGTAGTGCCCTTGTATTTCCGGCATTCATTCATTGAGCAAAATTTGTCCCAACAGGTGCTCTTGCAACGGCTGCAGAGCGATGCTGACGGACTACGAGTCCCTGTGCTGCCGAGAGGTTGACCGTGCAAGAGAGCTCTGCCAGGACCAGGGGGTGTCCTGTATCACCAAGCACCCCTGGTTCGAGCTCTACTGCCTGAACAGGCCAGTGCTGGACCTGGCGTATGTCACAATGCAATACTTCTGCCCTTTGGATGCGGGGAACCGGACCCAAGAGGAGTATGTATATTCAACTGATCAGTGGTGTAGCCAGGAATTTTTTTTCGGGGTCGGGGCCAAGGTGGCCGGGATGTCCACGACTTGGGGTGCGGAGAGGGGGAGGGGGTTCAAAATGCATGTGTATATTATAGTGTCAGCTAAATATTTGGGGGGGGGGGGGGGGGGGGGGCTGTAGACCCCCCCCCCCCCTTGTTGATCACACCCCTGCAGCTTATTGCAGTCATTCTAGTTGTTACGGCTGGCTTCCACTCCAAATATTCGTGTTTACAGCTACAAACACAGCGTTGGTGTCATGCTTTTTTCAGGCATTATGAAAAATCCTGTCTCTAAAATCAAAATCTTGATATGTGGTCATTTCACCACACTAGTAATATTGATAAATGTCATTATTCTCCTAAGAACAAGAAATTTATACGGTGTGCAAATATTTGAATATGAATCGAACATGAAGCTCTCAAATAATTCTATTTGCAAATCTGATTTCTCATATTAGGTATTGCGAAAGATGTGGTTGGTGCAGCACAAGCGAAATACTTTTTCCTTCCCTCCATTCTAGCAGGCTGTTGTATTGAACTTCCAAATATGCAAAATACATTTTAATTTTACCGGTCCACCCTGGTGTAGTGCGACAGGGTAAAGATAAATTAAAAGCAAGCTTTTGTGCCACTAACGGATACCAATTTTAGGGGGCACTGGAGCGTTTAAAATCAAAACATAGTTAGAAAGCACAATGTGTTACAAGAAAAAAAATGTGATAGGCAATTTTATTTTAGTGGCCACATTGTTATGGCCCAATTAGCATGACTGACCACCAATAATGTTCAGCAGCTGGTAGTGCACAGGAACTTGTATTTGAGCTTGTTACATACACATGGTCTTCTATTCGATGATCGGTTCTTAATTCGATTTAGCTACTACGATTAGGTACTCGCACACCTTTCAAGAAAAAAAAAAGAATAACAGCAGTGTGCTTATCTGGTAACTGCAACACTGTGCATGTAAATAAACAGAATCAGACATCATTTATCTGTTAACTACCACACTGTGCATGTAAATAAACAGGGTCAGACATCATTTATCTGTTAACTGCCACACTGTGCATGTAAATAAACAGGGTCAGACATCATTTCAGAATAATTAGAGAGAGTACCCATGCTTTCAGAATTCCACCAAAAAAAGTTTATTGCTCTTTCCTACAATGACAATCTCGTTACCGTGAAACCGCACAATTGTCTATTGACCACAACATAAATATCGATACTGCAATGAAAAGCCCGAAAAACTAAATGCCAACAAACAGTGAAGATACACTTGTTCAAGCAGTATTAAATATAATTAAAATCCTTCTGCATACAAAATGTTGTTAGAAGTTCCCCATGCTACAGGACAGTAATGATGTAAACTGCGAGATGTCATTGGAGATTGTTGACACTATACAAACGCATAGTAGAAAAGGTCAGAAGCAAATAGTGATTAGCTTTTCCCTCTTTGCTCAGAGTTCAACGCTGGTTTCTGCCATCTCATCTCATTACAGGAAGTACCGCTACACGGCATACCACCAGTTCACCTGGTGGGTGCACAAGAGGCTGGGGCGGGGAAACCAAGTGGTGCTGCCCAGCTGCGTAGTCTGTCGGATTCGGCAAGAATTCCCGTCCACAGATGGGACATACAGGGGGTTCAAAAAATAAAAAAAGTATTGGCCACCTGAAGGACTCGTTTACGGCATGTTTTGTCCAGCCCTTCAAAGACACCTTCATCAATAAAAGACAGCAAATGTCACCAAGCTCTAGGCTCGTAAGTTTAGCAATAGGTTGCAACCTATGAACCTAAGAATGGCTTGCGAGGTCGTTAATGACTAGTAGGTACGATAACGTGAACAGTTAAGTTTTCCTGATTATAATGCATTTTTCATTCAACAGAGCGGAACTTCACCTGTGCTTTTTCAGACTGTTCAGGCAGTGAAGAGGGAGAAGCTAAGTTTTATCATCTACCATAATATCTCAAGAGAAGACCCATCCCCAAAAGATAGCCCACCCTGATTTTCAGCATAACTTCTTATTATCCTAATGGCTTTAGTTGAACTCAATTTTGCACGCTGAAAGTTAGTCCACCCTGTATTTTCGCCTAATATGCTCTCAGTTTTACGTGGGCTGTCTCTTGGTATATTATGGTAAGTCGCTCCTATTTACTGCATAAGTGGTTTTAGTGATAAACATTTGATTTGCAAAAGTAGAAGTTAAAAACTAGCGATAGCTTATTCGCATTAACCGCACTGCACCGTGTGCATGGTGCAACGCCGGCAACCAAGTCGAAGGTCTAGACAAATACATGTATGGTAATTCCAAATTCTCGTATATCTTTGTAGCAAGAACTTGAGCCTCCAGCAAAATTGGCGCATATATCCTGCATATGAGCTTCCATTCAAAGTAAAGCTGCATTTGTCCACAGAAAAGGCAGACTAACATAAAACAAAGTGTCACAGTAGCACCTGAAACTCGAGAATTCCGAGGCAGTCATTGGGTTCAAACGGTTGATTGACCAAAATGAAGTTGCAAGTGTTGCTCGCTGGAAGGACAAAACAAAGAGGTGGGAAAAGGCGGTGGTTCTTTGCCAATGAATGTAAGAAAATTTACATTTGTTATTAAACAGCTGATACGTAGTCACCTTGGAAATCACTGTCTAAACCAGATTTGTAACACTTGTGGTGATCAAGTCTTCAAGCAAGGCACAAAAATGCAGCTGGCAACTGTAGTTCATATGCTTGAGTAAGGTCCAGTGTAAAAAATACCAACCCACTTTGCAAATTAGTTAGTTTTTGTATCATCGTCATAGGATACACCACGGCTTTCACCATCTGCAGGATTATGACTGCTCACCACCAGATGACCAAGCAGCAGATGAGGATGAAAATCGTAATGACCAAGCGGAGAGCAAACTCCGTCTCCGATGGTCTCATTCCCAATGAATGGGCCCGTTCCCAGGTGGCTTGGGAGACAAGCAAGGGTACTACTGAGAAGAATCGCAGAGGATATGGCATGCACACCCGAGAGAAGAGCAAAGTAGAGCTGAGAAGGACAACTACCAGTCTGCAAATTCCGTAAAAATTCCAGTAGTCCAATTGGTCTCGGATGCCTCCTTTGAGAATGCCATGGTCTTCAAACTACCAGCCAAGCACTGTAAAGAGCCACCTCTAGAGGGCCTCCTTACAAGCAACAACACTTCCTGCGTTCCATTCTTGATCATATTCATGAGGCAAGTTGGGATATTTTTTTTTAACCCAACCTCCTTCCTATACCATCTGCCCTGTCCTCGCTAATATCAGCAGCCTCCGATAACCCCCTTTCTTGTCTTTTGGCTCTTGAAACATTTTTACTCTACTACTGCATGTGGCGATCAACATTAGCACTGTGTGAGTGCGTCTGGCAGTTCCGCTTGAAGCAGGTGACACCACGCAGTATAGGTCCCATCGGAGTGCCTTCATACCTGTCGGGGTGCGGGCTCCATCTGTTCGTGTCGGAGCGGTCGGCGAGGCCGCAGGTGGGCAACCCAACGCTCCAGGGGCGCCTATGAACAGACATGAATCAGCATAAAAGTGCATGATCGAGACACAAAAAGCCTTAGAGCAACATTAGCACTGTGTGGATGCGTCTGGCAGTTCCACTTGAAGCAGGTGACACCACGCAGTATAGGTCCCATTGGAGTGCCTGCATACCTGTAAAGGTGCTGGCACTGTCTGTCCGCGTTATTGCAGTGGGGGAGGCCGCAGGTGCAACCAGCCGACATGCCAACACACTTGGAGTCACTGGAGAGATGCAAGAGAGAAGACGGAAGAATGTTAAGGGGGTGTTATTGCTTTTGGCCCAGGAGTATGGGCCCACTGGTGCAGCACTCACAGCCCACACATTGTTACGTTAAAAGACATTCAAGTTACGTCAATAACCTTACCTGTTCTATTTCTTCTCGGCTGTTTCTTCTAGCTCGTTTGTAGGCTCCCAACATGTGTCTGCACCTCCGACCAGGAAGTTGGTGGAATCACGCAGAGGTGCCTGATGCTCAGGGGAAAATAGCATATGATTTACTGGCCATTAAGAAAAATAAAGTGCATGGAAATTTAGAGAGGTGGATGGTTGTCGTTGCAGATACGCTCTACACTGTAGGTAGGAAATCCAGCCAGTGCAGTACTACCGCTACCCCGGGGTTTTGAAGGGACGTCACATACTACTGATATACTACCGCATGCCAGCACAATGTTTATCCAAGTTAAGACTGGTAAGGTAGGGGTCGAACCCTAGATCCTTGAATTGCTGCAGTGCGTGCGTTCGATCCGGCGCTCTAACCCACCTTGCCAAAGCTCTTCGATGATGAGCGGAACGGCTTGAAAAAGAAAGCACGATCGGCCACGGCTGAACCGCATGAAAGCGATTTGGCGAGCGATGAGCTAGGCTATCGCTGGTCGCTGTCGCCTGTCGCGGTGTTCGGTTCTAAATTCCCTGAACACTTTGGTCATCGCCTGGAGGTCGCTGCGTGCGATTTGCCTCGGCGAGTGACGAACTGAGCGACAGGTCTCCTGGAAAATCGCTCACATGCTGGATGAAACAGACAAGCATAAACCGCATGAAAGCGACTTGGCAAGTGACGAGACAAGCAACGGCGACCCGCTTCGCTGTTGCTCGGTCGGTCGCGCGAGGAGGCAAACCGCATGAAAGCGACGGGGGCAAGTGGCCAGGACGGTGAGCGACGTTTTCTAGAAGAGTAAAGCTATACGCACTATGTCGTGCACCTCGATCGGAAATGGCTATAAACACTACGCAGAGAGCTGATGCCATCATGCCATTTGGGTCACCCTTTTCGGACGGCGTGTGTTTAACCGAACCTTACCCCCCTTGCCTGCGTTCAAGCCGCTTCGCGGCGACACTGTGCGGCTGCTAATTGCAAAACTTAACCTGTACACGCCGCTTCGCGGCGTCCAGCCGGCAACCCAAGCCCCGCTGTCCCCTCCTGCACCTCCGGAAAGCGAGTCCCATACCATTCAGTTCTGCAAAATTTCGTAAATATCAATCCTTATCTTTTTTTTTTTTTTCAGTGTTATTTGTAGTAAAGAAATGTCTTAAACATCGTAAATGCCCTACAAAAAAAAAAATAGTGATAAAAAAAAAAAAAAAAAAACTAAGGAAACGTTGCCCTCATTGGGGATCGAACCGCGGACCGCTGCGTATAAAGCAGACACCTTACTATCATGCTACGCCACCTCTTAGGAAACTCGCCGCTGATACGAGCTTCGCGTAGTGCGTAGGGCCATTTCCAGTCAAGGTGCACGACGTAGTGCGTATAGCTTTACTCTTTCCAGTAATCTAAGAACCGAGCGATGCGACTGGCGACAGTGAGAAATCTCCGTCGCTCGTCGCAGATTCTCGACTCCGTCGCTCGTCGCAGACTCTCGACGCCGTCGCTCGTCTCGTCACTCGCTAAATCGCTTACATGCGGTTCGGCTTTCATTGCAGAACTCGGAAATACTCGACAGACAACATGCTCCCTTACCACTCTGCGTCGCTTGTCAAGGGGTTCGCTGCGCTCGCCAGATCTCCGCTTCTTTGAAAATAAACGGGGCAAAACTCCTGGTTTGAGCTGTACTTTCCTCACCGGGAAGCCCAAGGACTCCATCACCCTGGGGCTTCGCACGTAGTCCTCATCACGAAAGTGATAGGAACACAAGCGATCACTCGTAGTTGGAAGCCACGCCGGGGAGGACGGTCGTGCGAGCCGGATCCAAAGCGCACGAAGTTGTTCGTCCTTTGGGAACTGGTGAATAGGTTTTCCGCACCGAATCAGGAGGTTGCCGCAGTCCTCTACCGCACAGTGCCGCACCATCTCGGCATTAGAACGCGACAGGATGATCTAAGCGTTCTAGAGACCGAGGTACGCAAGCGATCGGGCCACCACAACTCAATGCAACGAGTCCACCGTCCCCATCGTCGGGAAAATGGCGAAGGGGTGAAGGCAGAGCAGGCAGCGAAGGCTTGATAATTGCGTTCAGAACTAGAGAAGAGGCGTAATGAGCCGTACTTCCGCAGAGCGGCGCTGCTCCGTTCTTCCAGGAGACAACCCGTGAGACGACCTAGGTCACTTCCCGGCAATGTACCTAGACGGACATTCCAAACGAGGCGTTCGTGACAAACACCAGGTGCTGTTTGGGAATCGTTTAATTCGTTCTAAAATTCGTTTTCGTGACTTTTTTAACAAGATATTGGTGTGTTGGATGTGATACTGCTCCTTTGAACACATATAGACCATAAAATAGGCACCAAAATTTCGTTGTAGTATCCCTTTAAGTAAGCACAAGCTTCTGGAGTGAACCTCGACAGCAACACACTTCGAGAGAAGGCCATGGGGATTGCCAAAATGTTGAATATTCACGATTTCACCACGTTGAACGGATGGATAAGTCGGATCCGAACCCAGCATGGTATTCATACCGTCAGGTGAATAGAGAGGCGAACAGCATCGATCCGGCCACCATTGAGAACTGGATTGCCTTACTCCCGGGCACTGTTAATATCTATTGCCCGTGCGACGTATTCAACGTGGACGAATGTGGGCTTTTCTTCAAGGTTCAGCCGACAAGTCCCTAAGTTTGAAAGAAGAATTCTGCCACGGCAGCAAAGGGAGCAAAGACAGAATAACTGCGCTGCTCTACTGCAACGAAGAAGGATCGGATATGATTACACCATGGGTGGTCGGCAAATGGAAGCAGCCAACATGCCTGAAGAACACTGCCCGACTTCCTTGCGTTTACAAGCAGAACACTAAGGCCTGGATGACCTGCAGTTTGTATAAGGTCTTCCTTCACTATCTCAAGAGGCGACTAGGCCGTAATGGTTGCAAGAGACAGCTGTTCCTAAATAACTGCTCAGCACATCCCAAGGTTCAGTCATTCCTACAGAAGAGCTCGTGACAACATTGCCCAAACGTTTTAAAGGCTGCAAGTGAAAACCTCACATCAAAAATTAAATTTCATTCTTTCCTTGAGGCAAACGTGCCAGGCTCAATGCTTGGTTCATTCTCCACTCCTAATTCGTTCTTCGATTATTTCAAGGCTCTTGAACATCTATTTTAAGGCACATTCAGGACTACATTCGGTTGTCGAGTACCTTGTACATGTCCTAGAGTCCCATTTGGAACATCAGTTTTGCTCCAGGGCTTGTGCAGTGCACTTCCTCAACCTCTATATGAATGTGAGCTTGCACTAGAAAATTCAAAACTTGAATCAAGAGCTCCTCAAGCTTCACGCCCTTAAGAAACCTGAACAAAGGAAGCGAAAACAATTATTGGCTAAATCGCCCTTTCTTTTTTGTTACGGGAATTTCGTTACGGCTTGTTTGCTTCTTGCTCGAGTAGGAATTTTTTTATTGGGGGTGTGCAACTTGGTGTATATATTCATTACTTAAAATCCTGTAAATACTTCCCTGCATATCTTAGGTGGTCCTAAGGTTGCTCATTCATCAAGTCTCATCCATTGTATAAAAAAGAAATTTCAAATTTTGTGCACTGGAGTTTCAGGATGCTTTTTCGTGTGATGACCAGTACGGCATTATAGGGTGTATAAAAGTATTTTATAATGCCTTGTCATGTTTTACTGAACATTCTGGGTTAGAGCTTAAATAAATGAGATGTGCTATTTGTGAAAACTGCTTGTTTAAGACGTATGTACTAATTAAGTGAATAATAATTGAAAGATGGCGAGATGCCAGTGAACGCAATTATTTGTATATGATGTCACATGTTGCATGTTTATATATCTATGCTCTTGATCTCACCATAAAGCTGATTTATTCATTGTTTATGTATTTCTGTCAATTTTCATCTGAATTCTGCAAATAGCTAGGCATTTCTAAAACGTGAAATGACTTGAAATACAATGCGTCTGATTCAATCTTCCGATTTTTCACGTTTCCAACACAAATGTCCGTATCAAGCGACGTCCGTGTTTACAGTTTGAAAAAGCGATGCTTTTACACAAATGCACGAGCCTTACGCCGGATCTCAACACGCATTACCACCCCCCATCACCGTACACGCGCGCGCGATAAACACATGCACACAAAAAAAAAAAGAATGGCAGAGAAAAAAAAAAAAAAGACAAGAGAAGGGGGGAAGGGGAGAAAGGTGAGCAGGCTGATGATGATGATAGCTGTTCGCTTTAGGGGAGCCGTGGCACCACCTGCAAGTACTTAACAACCCAAACCTAGTTCGCAAGGCTGCCGCAGTGCCTAGAGTTGCTAGTTTCGCCGGCTGCATTCGGCTGACCTGGCCACTACAGATATTTATTTATGTATTGAACAATGATACGGCGGCAATTTTCCAGATGTCTCAATTAACCTATTAGGAGTACCGATAGTATCTTCGGTCTGTGTGCGACGTAAAAAGATGGTTTTGGATGCTTTGTAAGGTTTGTATCACGCTGCTCTCGCTCGTATTACACCTGCTACGATTCATATAGCAGCTAAGCGGAGCACACAGCTACATATCTGCCGACCCGCGGAATTACAAATTCATAAAACTCCTGCGGCTGCGTGGGGGGTGGGGAAGAGGCAGGTACTTTTTGGGATGAGTGATGGTTTATTCTGTCAGCAATTTTTCTGCTGCTAATTTCGCCTGTTTTAGAAAATTCTCACCTGCTTTAGAAAGTTTAATGTCGACCTTGCCACCGTGCGAAATCCTTAGATCCCATTTGCACATGGTACAGAATCCAAACTACTCTCCCTTCTTGGACGGCACAAAGCACGGGAATTCCAACGTGTAGGACTTCAGGAACACCTGAAAGTACCTCGTTTGAGGTTTGGAGTTTGCCATTGAGCCGCGAAGTTACCGTGACTAGGGGAATGCTACAACGATTACACGACAACGATTACAAGATGCCGGACTGCTCGCCACAAAACTGGCCGAAACGGTGAGGCCGAACCACGGCTGAACACGTCGAACCAATGTGCGCCGCCGAACACACAAACAAAGGCTTTGGGCTTTGGTTTGGTTTTGGATCCGTGGCCACTGGATAGACGGAGAGTAGAAATCACGACGCTACCGCAGACGGTACCTATCACCCTCTTGCTGTGGTGCAAAGTACCGCCGGCAGTAGTCTCTTTTTATCATTTTTTTCGTAAAATACGAAGCAAGATTCGTAAGATTGTAAAATTAGCCCCAATTTGTACAATTTACAAAAGATTCGGAAGAGCTGGCAGGTATGCAGCTACTCAAACCGATTACAATGAATAGAGCTAGCTATGCTGTATAATGTGTGTGTTGCTTTCAGTCTGCATGCGCATTCGTTCCCTCTTGTGCTCGTGTTTCTCTGAACGTTCTCCCCTCGAGTGCTCCAGAAATTTATGACCCAGAGGGAATGTCCCACCGGCCAACCACCCGTGAACGTGAACGGGCAGGACATCATGGACGCTTGTGTAAACAGCACCAGCTGCGCCTCGAGGGGCGGCTTCTGGTCACTGGACACCGCATACCCTCTTTCCCCTTCTCGCGCGTCTTTCTTCCCCATAACGTTGTGTTCTGAAATAAACCGTTTTTCTTGAGAGTTGAAAAAGATTGCTTCGTGTCTGTCTCTCTGGAACAGTGGTTGTCTAATTTCGAACCACCATGTAATGAAGTTAGCCAGTATTTAGTAACATCTCTTAGCAATTTGGTGCCGAAACCCCGGAGAAGAAACTGGCAGAGAAGATGGATACAGCGAAAGCAACCCTCACCGACTGAGCAAAGCGGACAGTGGTGCGATCAGCGACAACTAAGCTTATCAACGATGTCGCAGCCATGGCGGATCGAACGACTGTCGGTGAGCTCCAAACCAAATTTGACCTTCTCGTACTGAAAGAGGACTCTCTCAAGAAACTTGATAGCGAAATTGAGCAAGGAATCGATGACAAGGCCTTAGAAGAGGAGATTACATGCAGTGAAAACTACAAGGAGAGGAAACTGAAAGGCATGCTCCGAGATCAGGCCCGGCTGGGTGGCAAAGCCTTAACAAGTTCACCAACCAACACGGACACCAGAACAAGCGTGAAAGTCGAACAGACCAACCCAGCAGTAAAGCTCGCCAAATCGGAGATATCAAGATTTGGAGGTGGACTTCGGGAACGACAAGGTTTCTGGAGTCAGTTCGGCTTCACCTCTCAACGTTAACTTGACACTGTCGAGGGTCGACAAATTCAAGAACCCAAACAGCTACCTCACGGGAGGAGCCGCCGTGGCTGTTGCAGGGCTTGACCAGACAGCGGCAAACTACGATCAGGCCCTCGAAATTCTTCGGGAAAAATTCGGCTGAAAGGACAGCATTATCAACGACCATCTGTCGAGGCTGCTCAGCATACAACCGGTACGACAATCCCAAGGCATCCACAAACTCCGTTCTCTCGTTGACGAAGTGCAGACAGGGTGGGGAGCCTTGCAGCCCTCAAAGTGAGTGCTCGCACATATGGAGTATTGCTGCTAATCGTGCTAAAGAAAGCCGTGTCCGCAGACCTCTGTCTCGAATACCATCGGAGACAAGACAAAAACATACCAGAGGGCGAATCTCGCGAGAAAATGCAATCGGTAGCAGTGCAGAAAGACCAGAGGGCCGATAAGCCGGGGCATTACAGAAAGAGAGGCTACAAGACAGGCCCTATTGCTTCAGCAGCAGCCTTGAATACCATGACCAGCAAAGACGACAAAAGATGCGTTTTTTACTCCTCTAACGATCATGAATCGGACAGGTGCGCTGCACAGATGTCGGTATCAGACAGAAGAGACATTCTGAAACAAGAGAACAGATGCTTCCGCTATGCGAAGAGAGGTCACAGATCCCGAGACTGCAGATCCTTGAAATGGCTGAGGTGTGGGCGACGCTCCGGGAGACACCTGACATCCATGTGTGACCCTGACTGGGCGAGCATCCGCACTGCCCCAAAAGAGGGGA